CATCGAATTTGAAATATATAGAAGTGTGTTGTTTGTCTGTCAGACAGTAGACATTAAAATTACGTCACATAAGGGACGCTCAACGTAGTAATTTGTACTGTTGTGACGTCAGTAAAACGTGCGCATGCCATGAATCACGTGAAGAATTGCGCACTCTGTAGTCTACAACACAGCATGACATATGCATTTGAAAAGCAAGAAATAAAAACATTTGTTACACTTAATTTTTATGTTACTTAATCTTGAAACAGAACACTTTCGGGGACCCTACGAAGGGTAGACAGTTACTCAACAACACCCACCGTCAACTCTTTGGATAGCAAATAGCTTTTGACTAGTTTTGCGCGAAAGTTCTGAAACAACTAGAAATACATTACAATTTTATTGCTATAGTTTTGAAGTCTTCAAGCACAAGAAAGTCCAATCGACCAGAGAAATTTTAATAGAAAAATGTTTGAGATACCATATCACCTTCCTGTAAAATATTTGGTATATCACGCCACTTTCCTGTAGAATATCTAACATATCACACCACCGTCCTAAAGAATATTTGAAATATCACACCACCTTCCTGTAAAATATTTGGTATATCACACCACTTCCTGTAGAATATCTAACATATCACACCACCGTCCTAAAGAATATTTGAAATATCACACCACCTTCCTGTAAAATATTTGGTATATCACACCACTTTCCTGTAGAATATCTGACATATCGCACCACCGTCCTAAAGAATATTTGAGATATCACACCACCTTCCTGTAAAATATTTGGTATATCACACCACTTTCCTGTAGAATATCTAACATATCACACCACAGTCCTAAAGAATATTTGAAATATCACACCACCTTCCTGTAAAATATTTGGTATATCACGCCACTTTCCTGTAGAATATCTGACATATCACACCACAGTCCTAAAGAATATTTGAAATATCACACCACCTTCCTTAATTTACCAATTCATTTCACATAGAAAATATAACTGGAACTAAAACACGTCAAGCGAAAAATTCCAGTTTTCGTAAGATTAATTCAAAATAACATAATATCATAAAGGCTGAAAATGCATAATGATAAGAATTAATTGTCATTAGCACAGAAAATATTCGAAGAAGTTATAAAATTTCTGTGAAAGCTGCATCAATAGATCATTAATATATTTAGGTATTAATTTAATCAAATAATTCATTAAAAAAATTATCGTTAATCACGCAAAACAATTGATGCGTAATATAGCTCTCCCCTGGTCTCTCAGAGGAAGCCTGGGGTTTATAATGCTAAAATTCAGGTTTCGATACCTGCGGCGGGCACAGCACCGAGATCCCATTGTGCAGCTATGTTCTAAATAAAAAACAAACACAATTTCTAGAAAAGCATCTTGGTAATCAAGGTAACGGAGCCCATATACTGTTTGTTTGTTTTGAATTTCGCGCAAAGCTACACGAAGGCTATCTGCACTATCCGTCCCTAATTTAGCAGTGTAAGACTAGAGGGACGGCAGCTAGTCATCACCATCCACCGCCAACTCTTGGGCTACTCTTTTACCAACGAATAGTGGGATTGACCGTCAAATTATAACGCCCCCACAACTGAAAGGGCGAGCATGTTTGGTGGGACGGGGATTCGAACCCGTGACTCGCAGACTGCGAGTCGAGCTCCCTAATCAACAGGCCATGCCGGGCCCCCATGTAGTGAATAGTAATATGTATCGGTCATTTCTTCAAAGTAACGCATAAAAAATAGGTTAGCTACTTTTATGTTATGCATATTTGCATTGTTTACTTCAGTCACAAAACACCACTCTCCGATTCTACTGCTGTATATCTAAAGCATACACAGCCGAATAAATCTTCGAAATTATTCAAACAAAATTGAGCTTGTCTTCTAGTTTGCCTTATATTTGTATAGTTAACGTAATTTTATTGGAAATGTACAACACTCTCAAAAACGTTTGAGTTATGTGTCCGATTGTTAAATTTAAGAAGTATTTGAAAACTTCCTTTTCAGTTAGTTGCGTTAAACTCCAAATCAAAATTGAAATTGTCGTGTATCTAGTAATATTCCTACACATATATTTTTGTGGTTCCCAAAATCAACTTCCTTTTTACATTGCATGTATGGTAAAACTTCGAAGATACAATATGAGACTTAAACCATCAATAATTCAAGCTGTTGACGGTAATATTGTCTTACAAGCAACAGTAATGTCTTGTCAGTTCCTTAGTAAAAATGTATGCTCATCTGATTAGTGTCCGTTTTTTAATACAAGGAAAATAGTACTGAAAGACACATAAGGCGTAACCCAATAAATCAGATCTGGACTTTTCTGTGCGAAAGTTTCCAATTATTAAATGACAAGGAAAACTTTCCACAGTACTTTTATCATTATCTTTTTTTTTTTTGTTGTTGTTGTTGTTTTTGCAGTTAAGTACAAAGCTGCACAATGGGCTATCTGTGCTCTGTCCACCACGGGTATAGAAACCCAGTTTCTAGCGTTATAATCCTGCAGAAATACCGCTGTGCCACTAGGGGTGGGAGGGGGGCTATTATTATTGTTGTTCAGACGACAGGAGTCAGATTTAAAATACATTAATTAAAATTTAATATTGAGACTACGATCTCAGACTTTCACTGCATCAAGAAGTACAACAAACACAAAAAATCAGTTTTTGAATTCACTGATTTAGTCCCAGTTGTTTCTTTCCTCATTTTAGAAAAAGCTTTTAAAACCCGTTATATTTATATTATGGATAACCATACACTTTAATTTAGAAACATATTTTATAATACGATAGAACTACCGTAAACGGATTGCTAAGTGGCCATTATTAAGTTAAAATAGTGCGGCTTTAAAAACCCGTTATATCATGAACCACGATAATGATTCATAACAGGATTCGCAAGAAACTGCACAAAACCCTAATAGAACGTTTGGGCCAAACATTACCTTAAACAGTAAAGATTCAATCCAAATAACACTTTAAAACCTTTACTGTGGACTGCTAAGGCTGTGCACATATAAAAAGCACACATGTTAGATTCACAAGGAAAAGAACACCCACTCAAAACGGCCCGTTTGTAATTCTTATTATTATTATTCTCTTGCCAGCCTGCAACAAAAGTGGCTTGGTATATAGCACCCAAACCTCTTGTAGAATATTAAATAATAAACTTCGAAGATTGTAGGGGTATTAGAAAGTCGATTTGTTTCTTCTATATTTTACGTAAGCTAAAAACATCATAATTCTAGAGTTAGCGATGTTATCATTACTCCGTGAAGTTAGCTTTCTTACAGACCTAGTGTTCCTTCAAAAAAACTTAAGTACAGGATAAAACAGGACTTACCAGCCAATTATAGATGAACATTGGATGATTGTAACATGTAGATACTCAATGTTTTATGCACTATACAATCTGTGTCTTTAGTGAGCCAACCCCTATATTACATATGAAGTGAAGGAGTAAAAAAACAGTACACATAATATTAAATATTATTAAGAACGTTCATAGAATAATTACCTTGAAAGACACGAAGGTTTATTTAAAGCGATGTTTAGACGTGTATGTTTTAGTTGAAAAGGTTGCTTTTCTACAGGTAAAATTTTATACGCGCTTAGTGGAGGTTGTGTCTAAGTGAAGACATATATTTGCCCATTATTATGCAAATAATAATACTAGCTAGGTTTATTATCATTACAATGTATACAGTTAACTACTATATCAAGTTGTTATTTACTCATAGTTGAGTATAAACAAAGCCAGGAAACAAAATAAATACAAAAATTGTGAAATTAAAAACCTGCACATGGGGATCATAAAAAGTATAGACAAAAGACTGAAGATGCTGTAGACATTATTAATTCAAATTACAAATCTACAGTATTTCCAGCCTAGTTTCCTTACATTTTTTACAATCTCTATTTGCCGGTTTTTAAATTCCCAATTTTTTATTTATCTTGTTTATATTATGGATAACATTACACTTTAATTTAGAAACATGTTTTATAATACCATAGAGCTATCATAAACGGATCGCTAAGTGGCCATTATTTAGTTAAAATAGTGCAGCTTTAAAAACCCGTTATATTTATATTATGGATAACCATACACTTTAATTTACAAACATATTTTATAATACGATAGAGCTACCATAATCGGATTCTTGTGGCCGTTAGTAAGTTAAAATGGATGTCGCTAGAACTGTAAGAACAAAAACCTAGTGTTCTACCTATAATTATAGCTTATTGCTTTAGAAGACGCTGACCCATGTTCAGTTTCTGCCTTTGACACTAAAGATAAATTATTAGGATTTTGATCTCTCAAATATCCCAGTTAATTACATATTAATTTATTAAACTTATTTGCATGACACATGGTAAAGTGTATAATGCTAAATTAGTATATAAAAAATAATACACAAAATGTTAACAATCCTTATTCGTTAAAAGGCTTGCATCCACAGATGTGCAGAACAGGGACGTCATTTAGAAGTGCAAATACAATCTATACGCCTTGTTTGCGACTCCTGTACCGTGGTTGCTTGTGCTAGGTGGTTCCTGGCAGCGACAGATTAACCGTAACGCAGAACAACTGCATACAGCCCCTGGATCAAATTATTAGCATTTATAAGTACTCCGCCTTAACTAATTTCATTGTATTTTAGACTATCAGATGTCTTAACCTACCTTTATTAACTGTAAATGTCACGAATTTTAATTCGTAACATTTTTCAGCTTCGTTCTTATACTACAGTCTTTACAAGACAATTGGAACTAGCTATTCCGTTGACTAACAGTGTCGGTTTAGTTTAAACACTGAGCACTATTTTGTATGGCCGTTGAACTTTAATAAATCGTAAATTAAATATTTTAAATTTATAATGAAACACAATTAAAATTAAAGAGGAACATTTAAAGACAAAAATAATTTTTATTAACTGCCAGGTTTCCACTGCAGTGAGTTCTATGTGTTTGTGAAAGACAGTTTTGTTTCTTTAAGTATTACGAGTTTGATATAGTTCAATGACGTTCATGGAAATTTAATAGAGAAGTTTTTGGTTTAATTTCTTATAGCATTATATATTTTTGCAGAAAGTTCCCTTTGAAATCACATGATAATTTCTCCGAAAGGGGGCTGAAGACCGTCTAGAGGAGTCACCTGTTTTAACCACTCCCAGCACTATACAGAAGTGTGTTGTCTGTCTGTTAGAGAGTAAGCACTAAAATAGCGTCACATAAAGGACGCTCAACGTTGCAATTTGTATTGTCGTAACATCAGTAAAGCGTGCACATGCCATGAATCACGAGAAGAATTATGCACTCTGTAGTCTATAACACAGCATGACATGGGAACTTGAAAAGCAAGAAATAAAAATATTTGTTACTCTTAATTTTGGTTTTATTTACTGTTGAAACAAAACACTTTCGGGGACTCTGCGGAAGTACATTTAGTACATTATGTTATTACCTTGTGATAAATAAGGTTTTAATGAAATGATATCCCTGGTGTAAAAGTAAAGTAATTAAAGAATAATGATGACGGAATGATACTGTAAAAACAACTATGAGCAGTGGTATGAATGTTTGCTTGAGTTCTTAATTTTGTACGTTTGTTCGTTCCATAAAATTGGCGCAAAAAAAACCCCATAAGGGATTATCTGCGCTGTTGCGTCAGCGAGGTCACGTGACTAGTATCACGCCACGTCCTTCTCGAACCTTCGTGAATTGTCGGGAGATTACTAGATATGTCTTGTATATATAAGACGGTCACAACGTGACGGAACAGTGGATGAGTAATTGAATGTATGCTGACAGAGAGAATATTTTGGGCACGTGAGACGTTCCTTGAGAATTATAGCGTTTGTTATAGAGCGACTGTTGAAATTAAGTGTATCGTAAAGTTGTATTCGGAATGAATAAACCAGTTTTATTTAAGAAAGGACTTGTGTCGCTAAAGTTTCGTCGGAACGAATTTACAGAAAAATTAAATAACGAACTGAGACGTAACAGCGCTATACGTTGCTAATTTTGACCTGATATAAGAAAATGTAGGCAATTACTCAACAACACCCACCGCCAACTTTTTGGATACTCTAATCAAATAGTGGGATTTGATCGTATAACCTACCCAAGGCCCCAAAATGTGGAACGCGGTTTTAGGCGGCAACGAGACGAAAGCCTTGAACTCCAGTATTCATAGTCCAGTACGCTAACTTATTGGCCATACTCGGCCCTAATATTTTTTATGAAGATTAAACTGCAGGGGTGAAATTCTGCCGGTACTCACCAGTACAGAGTACCGGAACTTATTTGTTAAAGCGATACTACTATCGGGACTTATTTGAGCTGCTTGGTAGTTTTTTTATGTTTACACGTAGATTGTTTTTTTTCAAAAACAGGTCCACTTCACCCAGCTGAGTACCTCTACCATTTTTTGAGAATTTCACCCCTGGATTAAAGTATATATGGATGAAAAGAATGTTCGATTTTTTTAACAGTATTTTTTTTTTTTTTTTTACTGTTTCCTGGGCTGGAACGTGTTATTAACAAAGGAGATTCATAACTTTATCTAGGGGTTAAATGAGTCAAGCTGAGAATGGGTGCCTATTGTGTGATCCTCTTTTTTGTGGTTCTAATTGACAAAGTTTAGTTATTCTTGTCTATCAATCATAAAACAGTGTGAGTGGACTCTTCCAACTGATCTAACACGCACTAATCACTGTTTTCATACGTTAAAAACTCCAGAGTTTATTGTCATGTTTAAAGCAATATTGGAGGTTGGAAGAGCAGATTTTTGGCAGATTGTATATGGTTTTTACCAGATTTAACTAGATTTTCGGTAGATTTTATATAGATTTTCTACAGATTTTAACGTAGATTCTTCATGGATGTACTAGTTTGACATATAGCAAGAA